ATTTGATTAGAATGAATGCTAAGTCAGACTTCTACTGATTTATGATTAATTTGCATTTCATAGGGCTTCTTATTGGGTGAAAGTTGCCGGTTAATATGTGTGCATAATTTTGCCCTCGTTTACATTCTAAATTAATCCTATCACTACTCGCATCAATTTATAAGAAAGTTTGTATTGATTGGTTGTTTTAGGTGGATTTGTTGATATGGCTTAGCACCACTCTGGATGAGACTATCTTTTTTGGTATTCATGGCTACGAATAATCGTTCCCTTAAACTAATTATCAGACTTCCTGTTATTCGGCGAGCCCATACTTTTGGAGTTCTAGGCTGTACAACATGATAAAGGTATGATGAATAGTTTTCTCACAACCATATGAGTAGGCCTCATGATGCCAATGATTTTTACTTAGCCTTATCTCCCAAGGTGTGTGGACTAGACTGGAATGACTTTCGACATCGCGTAAATTTCAAAGTAAGTAGAGCCTTTGTCATATCGCACTCATTAAATATCTACTGATAGTTTAAAACCTACTTAGCTTAAGCAACGCACTGGTTCAATGACAAAATATGATTTTCCATCGTTGGAAATCCCACTATAATTGTTAAGTCAGCTAACTCCTTTCTGACAAATGATGCTTTCGGACTTGTACTAATACAAATATTAAGTATAACAATAGGAGAAATTGGTGTTGGAGTTATGTAAAAATATGTTTGAAAGGCTAGTTGGTTTTAATGCAGATGGAGTCTATGTATGTAGTTGACGAAAGTGGATAAGTAGAGATATTGATCAAGACAGTCCTGAAAAGCAATAACCAAAACAGCTTTATGTAATTGTGTAGCCAGCGTGAGAGAAACGTTAGTGAATGTGGCATGCTGCGGAGACTTAACGCAGCTAGGGCATGCGGCAAAATCATTACTTTCGTGGAAGAAGAGTAGATAGAGACAGGGCGAAACAATTACGAAGACTGTCTAGTTAGCTTAAGCCGGCTGGTCAGATGTGCAATTAATTTGTACCATCGCGTAGATAAAGATAACACATCGTTGGGTAAAAGTGTGGATAGGCAAACGTCTGGCATCCAGCAGTAAGTGGCCCGATTGACGATGCGACGCCTTCAAAATGGAAGACTTCAAGTTGTAGTCGAAACCAGCTTAGTGAGTTTCCGCAGGCTTGGGCGAGTCAATTATGTAGAGCGAACAATGGTAGCGCATCAAGGAAAATAGGACCCTCGGCTCGGTACAGTGACGAGATTTGACTTGTAAATGCAAGGGAAGTGATATTCCTGATTGGTCTTTATTTAATCATTTTCACGATTTAATGATGGTCTCTAAGCCTACTTCCTATAAATAAAAAGGGACGTCGGTACATAGAAACTAATGAAATGTAACCAAATGAACAGCTTTAGTGGGATGGGACAGGAATAGATTAGCATAAATACGATATTAGAGCAATGGCTTTCGCAGAAATTCACGTCTGCTCAGGAGCTAACTGACGCCCTCTGCGGTGGAATAATGATAAATTCTAGGTGTACTTAGCTGATTAGACCTAAGCATAAATCGCAAGCACTTCTGGATAAGAAAACCTGGAGCACATTTCGGTGTAATTTACTAATATATACATTAAACCAAGAAAATCAATAACCATAATTTAATGACCCCATGCGATCTGGAATGACTAAAAATCCCATCCAAGATATACCGATAGTACAGACTTTGCACTATGAAGATTCTTTGTATACCAGCCCTCTCACTGGACGTGGAATATAAGATAAATCTCGGCAGAATTGGACCATTACATGTGAGGATATAACAATGAAACATGTTAATCGTTTTTAGTTAACAACTGGAGAGCTGGGAGTGTAGGCCTTGATGTGGAGTACTCTACGGTATGCAATGCCGAATTGATTCGTTATCACGAATAAAACAGCCAACTGCTGTTTTTAATCTAAGACAATTTGGAGTAAGCATATAGACTATAACAAGATGGAATTGTCAGGGACAGCAGAGCTCTGGGGCTGAGTTAGCTCTCTATGAGTAGTACGGCTGGATAGGCAATATATTACGTGTTGTCGATCATAATTAGCTAAACATTATTTCTACCTTTATTAGAGTACACAGAAGTTGCGCATAGCGGTGAACATGGAACAGTGCTAAAATTAAAAATTGATATGAACCAAATTAATCAAGTTGGAAATAAATATAAGCCAAATCTTGTAGACTTAAGTTCCATACCGGCAGATGAGCCTAATTTGTGGGTGGTGCAAAAAGTGATGGCAAGATAACAGCTTGTGAATATACAAAGCAGGATATCGAAGCCGCGAGAGTTAGTGACAGTTGTACCTTAGTCCAACTCTTTCTCTGCATCATGCCAAGCAAATTACTAGGCAAAGTAATAATTCTCCCTCACGCCATTATTCGTACACCAACTGACACAATCAGCAAAACCAAATGAGATCAAGCGTACCATCTCAGAAGGTAGGCTTTCCCATCAACTTCGTCAAGTATATAAAGCATTCATGATTTTAATCTTAGCTCATACACTACCACCGCTCGCTAAGCAGTGCCACTTTAGAATACCACTAGAGCTAGCAGGCGAGCATCACTCATTCAAAGCCGCCAGATAATAATAATTATCCAGTCTCCACAACCTTGAGGGTGTTTGGTAGAACACATGGGTAAATAATTTTTTTCGCTGAAGTATCTTCCTCAGGAAGGCTCTTAGTGAGTTGACTTCTACGGCGGCACTCTACCTCGAAAGACCATCCGTGGAGAGTCCTGACACTTACTTTCTGCATATAGGCTCACCTGTCGACATCCTTTCCCTTCTGCATACACCAAACAGGCTCATGTACATACAAATACTTGCCTTAACACCAAAAATTTGAACCCCTTCAATCAATACAGATTGTTTCGCACCAACCAATAATTCCCTATCGTGTCGTCCGGTCCCAAGTCTTAAAAATTACTTTAGATAAGCAAACAATATGGCAGAGAAAATAGAAGTACATAAATGACGGAATTAAATTAGGTTAATGAAGAAGCAGATATTAGCTGAATGATCATAATATTTGCAATTTCGTAGGCCTTTTTGTGTAATGAAAGTAAGCCATCACGAGAAACTTGAGGTACATTTTCGTCTCGAGATGAATCGAAAAAATCAGAGCTAAACCTAAAGAGAGCAGAAAGGTGTTCTGGAGAAACCGGACTTTCTTTATTGTGAGAATGCGGAATGCTCCTGAAGGAATCAGTATTGATATTTTTATTACTGGAACCCATTGCATACTCTTGACCGAAGAACATGGCAAATACGCCAAAGCCAGTTGACAAATTATCGTCACTCTTGAGAATGCTGTCATCCTGTGATAGGAGACTAGCCCTCGAAGAAGTCAAATGAGCAGAAATAGAAGTTATGTCCATACAGAGGGTTATCACTGAAACAAGTTCCAAAAATATAATATAATTAAAATAATTATTTAAAAGTTAATTAAGAAATTCAATATTTAGTAAGATAATGTAAACAAGGAAATATGGTCAGATCATTATATTGCGTAAATAAAACTAAGAATAACTGACGCATTCCAACATTTCCAATGTCTTTGTCATTTGAAGTAGATGAAGGGGATATACCATTTGATGTGAAACGAGCATTTACAGCTGCGATGCTAGCGCGCATAGAAACGCCGGATTGCATGAGTGCCAAGGAAATTGCATTGCAAGCCGAGCTAACTGTGTAAGGATGCAAGGAGTCACCAGCAACGATAGTAATACGAATAGTAAACTGAAGGTAAGTGCAGTAAGAGTTAAAATATATTAATGTTAACTGCTTCTAGGTGTAATTTTAAAGGAGCAATATAAGCAAACGAGTGTAAATTTATATAGATACCTTAGATCTAGGAAATGCTTTCACATCAATAAGCCTGGACGCCAGTTGAACTAAAAAAACCTCAAGCTCACTTTCCCTAGGAGTGTGCATTCCAAACTGGGGGGTGACAATGACATCAACATAGGCTCGATGGGTTAAAGATTTCTGAATTGATGATTCATCTGGACCATATATTGATGCAGCAACATGATGACCATTGAAATCCCAAGTTGCTGATCCAACAGCATTGCAGTCATTATTTAGCTCTATGAACAAATCATCCATCTGACGGGAAAGCAACAAGGCCAATTGAAGCTAAGCCAAATCCCTGGTGTGGGCCAAAACAAAAAATGGCAAAAGCCTTATTTTTAAGGCAATAGTAGTTTTCCTTTATTTATATGCAAATATATCTTAGTATAAACTGTTTATATTTAAAGAAATTATTTATACTACAGTATGCTTAGTATTGACTGATGAGAAGGTCAAAGAATAAATAGCATCAATATTAGTTAGCACTATGTAAGGGAAACATTAATAGCCTTTCTTCTCTCTTTAATTTGCCACAATGGTATAAGATTTACCCTATTTACAATAGCACACAAAGTGTTAGATAGGTTGATAATATAAGTCGGTATTCTATAGAAAATAGGATTCAGTTATATTATTTAGAAGCTTTTTGTTCTGAACGTCTAGTAAATAGTCTTAATCTACTTCTGAATCTCATATACACAATTATCGAATAGAGCCTTCTCTTCTTAAGTAGGGATCACATTAGCTCTTCGGGAGACAAGTCTTTTGCCTCATGTCCCTTTAACAAGTTGTAATATGGTGCTGCGAATGGGGATACTCACTAAAGATGCAGAGTAAGATGCCGACTAAGATGCCGGCCAACGTCTGGGAATGTACCACATCCACGGTCCTACTCTGGAAATGATGATGCATACAATGGAATCTGGACTAGGTGCCTTCCTCTAAGTCTTCCTACCAATATGAGCAAGTTGCGAAAACAAGGGCAAACAACTTCTACCATATAATCAAAGATATGAATACCAAGATGGTGTAGCTTTTAATGTGCTTGTTTTTGCAACTTAGTCATAATTGTAGGAAGAATAATATAAACGCACCTTGTCTTGAGTTTATTGTATGCATAATTATTTCCAAAGTCGGACCGTGGACGTGGTGCATTCCCAGACGTTTCGCCAGCATCGTAGTCGGCATCGTCAGTGAGTTTATCATTCGTAGCACTATATTACAACTCGTCAAAGAGACAAGTGTAGCCGATCCTTTGACCAAACGTGTGCTAAACAGTTATGGTATCGCCCATTCTGTCCTAGACTATTACATTTTCTATATCCTCCTATCACGCCCTTACCGTCACCATTTTTTACTTGCTTAATTAAATATGCTCGGTGTGCCCTTTTGTAGCGCCTTTCATAAGAACTCTCCGCACTCCACGCTGGCCTTCTCACCCCTCTTCATCCTCGTGCTAAGAATGTTGATCTGAGTCTGCCATATTGTTACGCAGTCCTTCTTTCCTAGATCTTACCACAGTCTCTTTCTTGCCCCGTAAGATCCGTATGCACTCTCTCTGGTTAAAATATTTCACTCGACCCCTGCCAACCCATATGTGCCAACTTGAGGCGTTATTGGCCCTAACCTGTGTCTAGGTGACTAATTCGAGGATTAAGCCTCTGAGACAGTGTCATGGTCAGGTCTTTGCCACACGAACTACGTCTTTTATAAAAACTACTGTCAGCCCAATAGCTTCCATCACCGCCGCGTCTATCCTGTTTCTGTCTCTAATACCAAGTCTATTATTTCTCATAACCTAGCCATTTGTGTGCCAACCATCAAACGTTGTGGTTCAACATTGAACCGAGTCAAAGCAAGCATAACCACAACATTTGTGGGTTGGCACACAGGCTAGGGTATGAGAAGTAATAGACTTGGTATTAGAGACAGAAACAGGATAGACGCGGCGGCGATGGGAGCTAGTGGGCTGACAGTAGTTTTTATATAAGACGTGGTCCATGTGACCAAGGACTGACCATGACACTTACTCAGAGGCCTAAGCCTCTAATTAGTCACCTAGACGCAGGGTAGGGCCAATAACGCCCCAAGTTGGCACAGATGGGTTGGC